TTTTAAGAATAAAGAGGATGCACAAGAGTGCAAATGATAAAGGAATTAAGTTGTGTGTCATACTTTAAAATTATGGGAGAGGGTAATTGAACATACCTAAGACGTATTACAAAGATTTCTCATAATCAATATGGATTTATGCTGGGCAGGTCTACTATGGAGCTATACATTTATTGAGAGGCTTGATGTAGAAGTTCAAAAATAATAAGGAGAATCTACATTTGATTTTTCATGATTTAGAAAAAGTTTACAATAAGATTCAGAGAGATATCCTTTGGAGAATTCTTGAGAAGAAAGGTGTTGATATAACTTATATTCAAGTTATTAAAGATATGTATATTAGAGTTGTTACTAGTGTTCGAACTGAAGGAGGATTGACCAAATATTTTCCTATTTCTGTTGAATTACATCAGGGATCGACTTTAAGCTCATATCTTTTTGCTTTAGTTATGGATGGTCTTACTGGACATTTACAGGAGGATGTACCTTGGTGTATGTTTTTTGTCGATGATATCCTTCTCATTGATAAGACGAGATAAAAAGCCCAGGAAAAACTTGAAGTATGGAGGTCTACATTAGAGTTTAAAGGCCTTCATTTGAGAAGAACTAAAACTGAATACATGGGATGTAATTTTAATAGTAGTAGCTCTAGTGACAGAAGTGTAACTTCAGGTGATCAAATTATTAAAAGGTGTGAATGATTTAGATAGCTTGGGTCTGTTGTTCAAAGCAATGGTGATATACATGGGGATGTTAATAGTAGAATTCAAGTTGGTTGGTGGAAGTGGAGGAATGCTTCGGGTCTTTTGTGTGATAGAAAAGTACTGCTTATACTGAAATGGAAAATTTTATAAGACGGTGGTGAGCCTGCAATGCTCTATGGAGCTGAATGTTGGCCTTTAAAAGAGAAGCATAATACCAAGTTAAGTGTTACCAAGAACCAAGATGAGAATGATTAGGTGTAGGTGGATGAGTGGCTTTACACTTAGAGACAAAATGTGAAATGAATATAGTTGTGATAAGGCTGGTGTAGTTCTTGTGACGAACAAAATTTAAGAAAGTCATCTTAGATGGTTTGGTCACATTAAACGTCGACCATCTGAGGATCTGATTAAGAGAGTAGATGTTTTAGATTCGACTTATGTTAAGAAAGGCAGAGGTAGACCTAGGAAGACTTGGGCTTATT